GAAGAATCAATCAGATCTCAAATTCCAAGTGAGAAAATTACCAGCTGTTTATTGAGAGGTGTCAGTGGTCAATTATCCGACAGCTGTAGTTTACAAGCTCCTCTACACTTAACGCCAATCGAATAGACACAATGTGCGAACTGCCACAGTGCACAGGCATAGATTAAAGAACCTATATACACTAAACGCCAAAAGAAACGTTACCCTGCTTCCTGAATCCCTGAATAAGTCTTATAACCGTGATACGGTGGCATCAGAGAGCGTTGGCAACAGCATTGTATGTCGACCCCATCTGCACCATCCCAAAGGCTCTTACTCTCTCTTCAGCTGTCAATCGTGGCATATTTCTCGTACATCATATTACGTATTTTAGGCTCTCTTCATACCCCACAGAATCATTCTACATGTGAAATGGATGCAAATACCTCTTGAAGATTGCTGCGTTTTGGCGATTGATATTGCTATGTGTAAACAGAAAATGGAAAAATGTTACTTTGCAAGGAAAATAATTTTAGATGTTCCGAAACATATTTTCACAATATCAAAGACTCGTTGTACTTGTTTTCACTAATGCAAATCAGGAGAAAATGTTTTAAAAGACTGAAATCATAGCAATAATTCTTTTACAATTTTACACACTCTACAACAGTTGTTTCTTGTTTTAATAGTTGAAAAATGGTAATTTGAAATGTTTTATAATTGTCCCAAAGCAGAATTTTATGTTAACCTTTCTTTTGGACCTCAAAATCACTGTTATTGGTTTATTTCGACATGGACGAAAATTGGACAATTTAACTCTAAGATGCATTTCACCTAAATTTGAATGCATTTGAGAGGTTTTTTTCGTGATTTGCATAAAGCTGTGTTGTTAAGCTTTTTTTGTAAACTAATACCTTCTAAAATATCTTTGATAGTGTTTCAGTAATTCATAAAGGTGGGAGGGTAACGTTTCTTTTGGCGTTTAGTGTATATGGTCTGTTTACACGTCTGAAATACTTGTCAGTACAGACGCTACTGTGTTCACAAGTAGAGCAGAATTACTCGGTGAAATGTCAGAAGACAAACTGGAACTCGCTTTCTGCTGCATTTGCGCAGTTGCCTATGTCTACTATATATTTTTTAATTTACTTCATTAGAGTTTTCGCAGTTATGATAATACTTTGCCAAATTTTCAAAACACTGATACGGCCTATTGTGTAGTTTACTTTTATGGAGAATAAATCACCGGAAATTATTTGTGGAGAGTCATGACATTACTAACTTTGCCAATGTGACCTTGACCTTTCTTTCAGTTGATACAAATGAATCTGAAATATATTATTGATTGGTTGGTTAATTTAATTTTGTTTAAGCTTATTCTTCTTAAAATTGCGCCTCTGGTTATAATTAGAACATTACACTCGCTTTAATGAGACGATTGTGTCCCATAATTATAATTAGTCCCTAGTGACATGATTGTCCGGGGCCTCCTTATACCCAAGGCAAACAGAAAACTATGCCATTTGGGGCATGAAAGTTATAGTTAGTTAAAGTTTGGGTGAAATTCTAGAATTCTCAAACATTACCACAGGACAGTGTCGTAACTAATAAACTGGCTTTTCAGAAACAATGGTCTTTTCATAACAACGCACGGTGATGAACTGATGAACCAGTAATCCAATGACCAGCGGATCCTGTTATGACCAAGGGACGTAACCATAACCTTGCACGGCGAGATACGAAGCCTGGCTGGTACATGTGTTACGGTCATGTCCCATCAGTCATACTCCCATTAGTCCTACTCCCAATAGTCATTCAGCAAATGAGGGATTAATTAAAACAACAACAGGCATGTACCCTTTGCGCAAAATGGACTAGTCCGCTAATTAAGAGCGCTTGAGGTTAGTTTAATCTCTAACATTGAGAATGCCACAGTCTTTGGTAATGAAAACATAGAAACGAATGTTATTAAAGTAAATTACATCGAAGTTATATCTATATGAACATAATACACCACAACCGTTGATAATCAAAACATTTAAATCAATGTTAAACTCTACTGAGTTTGATTGAGTTTACTCAATCTTATAAAAAACCATAAACTAGTGCATAGAAGTTTAAATGTATACTCTAGCATATCACTCTTGTTATTATGAAAGGATTGATTGAAGTGGAATACGTTACCTCTAGTCGAGGTTTACAACAGGTACTGTTTCAAGGTCACCTTCACAACAAGAATTCTACAAAGGAACACTGTAACCACTGGAAGTGTGTTGTGAAGATTTGCCACACAACCACAACCATGGCCCACAAGAACCTGACACGGTGAGATTCCTCAGCAACATGAGGAAGGGGGCCAGAGAAGAGATTACCGCAATGCCAACCCTGTAGCAGGAAGCAGTTGCCCAAGATGTGGAACTTTGGTGCTGCCATCCAGGGAAGAAAGCGAGTGTATCGCGAGAAGGAAAACAGACTCGTCCGATTGTGGGACCAACTTAAAGCAGGCCAGAAAAACTCAGTTCAATTTCTGGATGCTGTTGTCTACCTCTGCCTAACTGACCATTAATTGCGAAAGTGTGAATTTAAGTTACTGAAGTTAAATAAAGAATAATGTGTTAATGATACCGTTTAATTGTACAGATTATGTAAGTAAACTCTGCTCAAGATCAGATTATGCATGTAGACCATGCTGAAGGCAGATTATTGAAGTTCACGGATGTGAAGCTGCATTATTGTTTCTTGGATCATTCCACTTCATTTTTACAAAGGTATTACAAATGTAGTTGTTGGTGCAGTCAACCATACCATATGTTGAAGCATCCAATCGATGGTAGGAACAACAATCCACCATGGGTCCATAGCATCATTATAAAGTTCTTACAGTAGGACAAAACCATCAACCCACAAAGAGATGAAATCAATTCGTTGCCTTTAGACAGGAGTTTTCCTATCAAACCGCTGTACACTCTTCATAGAGGCGCGAGTGAGTGAGCTTTACGTCGCTTTAAGCAATATTCCAGCAATATCATGGCGGGGGACACCAGAAATGGGCTGCTCATATTGTGCCCATGTGGGAAATCGAACCCAGGTATTCGACGTGAGGAGGGAACGCTTTAACCACTAGGCTGCCCCCACCACCCCATCTTCATACAGAAAGACCAGGAAACGTATACTACCCATCAAAAGTTTAGACTCACTAGTGTAAATGTAGCCACTTACTCCAGTCAACTGTTCAGAACTAGCTATATATTCCATAATGTTTAAAGGTACTGTTTACACATGAACTGTTGTATTGTACAACAAATTCGTAACGTTGAAAAGATTATTGTCATGAGTTCAATAAATCATGTCATCGCGTTAATATGTCATCTTTCCAAATTTCTCATTCATAGTCATGTTCAGTTCAATGACACTACGGTGTCAACAACACTATGCAATTGCCAGAAACCATCTAGAGATACCATTGTTCAAACACGTACACGCCACATGTTCCGTATAGATCTCTAAATAATTACAACAGCTGTGACGTTGTGCAATGCCATCAGAAAATCAAGAACTGTGACGTTGTGCAATGCCAGCAGTTATTGTAGTTATCCACAAAACTATGATTTTTGTTTAAAATTATGCATACACAGCAAAATTCACTTGATGTGTTCTGCAGTATCGTCATGTATTCGGAATAATGTGGGGTTTCTCTTTACAGGGGGCAACATGTCATCAGGAGCAAAACGATCTCAACAACTATTAGGTATGATCATCAAGATACATGTAAAGGCGACACGTGTTATATTGCTCTACCGACATACGTGACCTCTTCCAATTTTCTTTTACGGTCCCCGCTCCACAAAGCGATCGTAGCGCTGAGGTGATCGTAACTTCCATACTTTAACATAGACTTACGGCTGTCGTAGCGCTAAGGTGATCGTAACTCCCATACTTTAACATAGACTTACGACTGTCGTAGCGCTTCGATGGGGCCAAGGTGGGAAGCCGATTACAAGTTTAAAACACATCAATGGCGTCACACAACTATTTAATCAATCTGTTATTTTCCACGAAGGCACAGTTGGGTTGCGTTTATGAACGAACATGACGTCATGTGATTGTTTCACTTTCGGAATCAGGGATTCACTGGTCATTGTGAACGTGCATTCAACAAGTAAAACTGTCGCTATTACAGGTCACTGTGCAAGATTATACAGAAATTATGAATTTCTGATGAAAGTACAGAGGTGCAGAGGTACACGGGTTACAATGACGCAGGAGTGCACGGGTTACAAGGATGCAGATGTATACGGCTTCAGTGATGCAGTAATATTCAGGTGAGTACAAAGAGAGACATAGTTTACACATGTAAGTGGGCAATGAAACACTGTGGTGATTTGTTAAAAGTAATTTTGAATATTGACAATAAGACAATACAAGGAGGCTGACATCAAATGTCAACAAAATCGCTATAGTCAGTCGGGTGGAGATGGTTTGGTTGAGCATTATTTCCACATTTCTGTGTTTTTGTGCGTGACAGCTTGATAGATTCACACACTAGGTGGCGAATCGGCATGAGCTTGTCATGTGATCAACTGTTTGAAATGTTCAACTAAAGTGTATTAATCTGTTTCAAGCAACCACTACTTTTCTTGTGCGCAGAAACTTCGCCAATGATGTATCCTTAACAAAAAGAAGGGATCCTAAACATTTTCGGGATATCTGTTTGAAGAGATTGTTTGCTATGTCTTCATTTCATAAATATCCTCCCAAAATATTTATACTCCTTGATTGTGTTGTTCTTCAGTATATTATGTCCTGTAAAGCCATATCAGATATCGATAACCTTGCAATGTACACATACACTACTTCAGTGGGCACCATTAATACGAATGTTAATATGTCACATCTGGGTTTATGTCTGTGTAGCCCAGTTAGGGCCACCAACATTTGATCACAGGCCCTGAACCGGCATGCGTAACACATGCACTTAACAGAGTATATCATCTGGCGCTACATCGATGGAGCCCTCAACTGAACTGGTGTGGAACATTCCTCTCGAGTCCTCTCGAGTATTTCATGTACGTGTTCAATATCCATGGCCGTACACATAGTTTATCCGAGGTGACATGTATTACAATCGGATCTGGTATGCCGCTACGTGCCCGGTATGACACGATGTTTTGGGAGTGACAGTGAGTTGTGTGTCCTCGCGATTAAGATAAGTAAAGATGCGTGTTTTTCGCCGGAGGAGCCTGATGCACTTTATTTGTGGGATGATAGCTGGAGTCAGTTTAGGCATTGTAGGGGTATGTTTGGTGGAAATGGAAGACACAGCTGATCTGGCTCCTGGTTCGATGCCAGTTGACACCATTACACACCGAGATAACACCCTGAGGAACGAACATCTTAGCCGGAATCTGTTGAACAGAGGGCCTGAATTTGCTGAAGGTAAACATCATTGTATTGCATTAGCTCGTTCCTTCTCAGGCTCTAACGTTATCAATGGTGCACCATCGATGGTAATCACCCATTGTACTCCTACATTCACACTACGATTTGTGGAGTTAAGGGACCGTTCAAAATTTATGGCTAGTGTGTGTATGTGTGTGTGTGTGTTTGTTCTGTACATGATAGGGGGGCACTTGCTTTGTACATTAATCTGAGGGGGGGTTCAATCACATTGCACATGCTTTACCATAAACATCAGCCATAAATTATGATCGGTGCCTCAGTGAACAATTATTTTCAGTTCACAGCAAATTAAATTGATGAGATACTAGTAGTTTATTATTCCGTGAAGATATGATGAATACTTTCGCCTTCATGTCTTGATTCCCTAAGCTTCCTGTGCTTAAAACCCCCTGGATGCCACAGGGACATATATGTCCTTCCCCTTCAACCCTCAATTTCAAGTCCAATAAAAATCAAAATATCCTACGCACACAAATACACTTCACAGTTTCGAAATCTGCGGGAAATTTCCTGTTTCTTGATACCATCCACTATTATTTTAGACAAAGCTCAAGTGCTGAAAATGACCTTTCAAAATAGGCTTCATCGAAAATGTCGCCATTTTTGACACAGTACGAAATCGCGATTCACAGCGTTATTTGCTGTATGTTTACAAATGTGAAAATCAGATAATTACTGGGAGTATTGAATTTCAAAAATAACATATTCATGATCACTGATATCAGTTTTACATGAAATCGCAAATTATAATTCTGAAACGTTGCTGATGAATCTAGAATCGGTTGGGATGTTTTCGAAAATGCACTTACACGAACGGCGTTGAGCGATTTCCGCCATATTGGATAGTGTTTACAAAAAGACGTTTCGCGAAGGCCGGTATTGAGACGCCCATTACATCACGTATATTTCATATTCAGCTTTGAAAAATGCATCACTGAATTCCCCATACATTTTAGAATCAAATTGCAACTGGTCTGTGTCACCAATACCAACTGTCTAGATAAAATGAGACGAAACATATTGGGTGTGAAAACGAACGCTGTGCTCGAAAGACTGCGCTGGTTCGAAATGTAAACAAAGACAAATCGTAGCACAGTGCTTTTATCGATCCGCGATACATAGCGGAGAAATTTACTGTTTTTTAACGCATAACAAAAATTTGGACAACATGTGACAAAGAGGATACTGAAATAGAGTTAACCTGAAAACAATATTGCGTTGTTTGTTGTGCTTTGAAAGATATGCCTGAAAACAGCTGTCACCAGATATCCACAATACACTTCAGATTATTCCGTTACATGTTCTCGGTGGCAATGACGAGAATATTATTAATGTATTGAACAACGCCAGACAGCTGTTGGAGGAACTGAGTGAGGACTGGAATAGCACCGGAGCTCGAGCAGAGAGTCATCGCAAGCCGGCCAAGGCAACCAGTTCGTTCGTTCGTTCACTCGTTCGTTTGTTTGTTATTTAACGCCGCACTCAGCAGTATTCCAGTTTAATGGCGATGGTCTGTAACTAATCGAGTCTGGATCAGACAGTCTAGTGATTGACATCATGAGCATCCGTCTATCTCGGATACGATGGCAGTGTCAACCAAGTCAGCGAGCCTGACCCTCCCGTTAAACGCTGCTGCTGAAGATCATTTATAACCCGGATCAGTTGTAACCCGGATCAGTTGTCACCCTGATTTGATGTAACCCGGATCTGCAAGGGTCCTAATCCAATCAAGACCTATGAAGGTTATGACATAAATGTAAGAATTTGGATGCCTATTACAGAAAAGACTAGAACAGGTCGCGACAGTCTTTCAACATCTACCTATAAATGAAAACTATTCCATCACTTACAGATATAAGATAATTATCCCTACAATGTCACGGATCAATTCTATCTTTAATAGTAAAAATAAATTAATGGATTGGTAGAAATAATTGAAACTGCGATGGTAATATTAGATACGTAAAAGGGACACTATAGTCTGAGTGTGTTTATTTATCAAAGTAACGAGGTGTCATATCGTACAAAGCTGTGGATTGCATGCTGATGAGTCAGTCATGAATTTGTCTTCCCCAAGAACCGGGGTTCGGTTGTCTAGGTAACAAGGTGTCCCCAACCCTATTGTGGCAATAATGCCAGAAGTGGGGTCAAACCACATCCATTCATCATAAATTGTACCCTATTGTACTATTGTGTCATCTTCGATTGCCCGCGATATAATTTCTCCATTCCCATTCGATAGCTTGTCCAAATACCTTGTACACATAGATTTGTAGTGGCAGTGAAGCCACCATCTCCATCCCTGCTGTCAGATAGGACATACTTCGCTCGTGAGAGGTATTTTATACGACGGCTATTAACAGGTTGTTCTGTTCAATCGGACTCAAACCAAACTTGAATGGACCAAAGAACATACTTCGAGTTACCCGAAGTTCGGCACAAACACAAACTTTTGAATAAACAAGATACATGTATACATAGGGACCAAACGTTTATTTGGAAACAACTGTAAGATTGACACAACGGTTATCGGATGTAACACTGAGGTGAGGTGAGGTGAGGTGAGGTGAGGTGAGGTGAGGTGAGGTGAAAATTGGGTTTAACGTCGTGCTTAAGAATATTTCGCTCATATGACGACGTGCGTGCGTGTGTATGTGTATGTGCGGCTGCTTGTACTAGCCCAGACTGAAGCTGGTTTTATATTGCTAGCCCACTGAGATACCATGCCGCAGTAAAGCATGACTACCCCACTCAGACACATTATACTGACCCCGAGCCGACCAGTCCTTGTTGTACCCATTAATGCCGAGCGCCAGGCAGGGACCAACAAGTACCATATTTTAACGTCTTTTGGTATGACGCGGTCGGGGATCGAACCCGCGACCTTCCGCTCTCCGGGCGGACGCTCTTACCACTACACCACGGAGGCGGTCCGGATGTAACAGTGAATAGGTCTAAAGCAGCCATCATAACTGAATGAACGGGTGAAGATCCGGGTTAGAATTGGTCTTCAGTAACCCATGCTTGTCGTAAGAGGCGACTAACGGGACGGGGTAGTCAGGCTCGCTGACTTGGTTGACACATGTCATCGTATCTAATTTGTGTAGATCGATGATCATGTTGTTGATCACTGGATTGTCTGGTCCAGGCTCGCTTATTTACAGACCGCCGCCACATTGCTGGACTGACTTACTGACTGAGTTTGGTTTTACGCCGCTTTTAGCAATATTCCAGCAACATCACGGCGGGGGACACCAGAAATGGGCTTCACACATTGTACCCATGTGGGGAATCGAACACGGGTCTTCGGCGTGACGAGCCAACGCTTTAACCACTAGGCTACCTCACCGCCCCACATTGCTGGAATATAGCTGAGTGCAGCGTTAAACAACAAACTGAATAGGAGTCAACCAACATAACTGAATGGAGATTTGATACACAGGATAATCTTGCGGGGGCTCCTATAATGTGTCTTTGTATTCTGTAAATTAAGTATAACAAACAAAATATTCATGGAAGCCTTACCGTCATTATCCCTGGTTTCACTCTCTATATTCTCTGTTGTTTTACAGCCAATGATACGGTCTCACGTCAGCTCGAGGGGAAGATCCGGGTCCTATGCTGGTTATATCTTCGGCGCACGCAGGAATTAGAGAAGAGGCTGAACATCACTAAGAACAGTTGGGCAAACAAATGTACCAAGCTCATTGTCTTCATAAACAACCACAACGACTCTCTTCCCGCTATAGGACTCGACATGGCGGCAAAGTTGGTGCCGCCCAGCGACTCGCCATTGATAACAGCTTATCGCTATGTGTATAAACACCACTACAATGACGCTGATTGGTTCTTTTCAGCCGAGCAGCTCCCTTTCGTCATCATGGAAAACTTACGTCACTTCCTGTCAGAAAAAGACCCGGATGAGCCAATATATTACGGCCATCGAATGAAGTCGGTTACAGATGTTCCTGGACTGGTTTATGCAGACAGGTGCGCTGGAGTGATCCTGAGCCGAAAAGGGCTTCACCTTTTTGGGCACAAAAGGGTCCTCCCCACCCGTTTGTAACAAGTTTGAGTTCCAGTCTGGTTTGCAGTTTGCGAAATGTATGTTGGAAATTGGTGTTCGGTATGGCGAAACTCGAGACTCGGGGGGCAAGAGTAGGATGTTGTTGCTGGATATTGGTGCGATGATGTCGGACTACCGAGCCACTCCCACTACAACTGTAGATGAGGAGGAAACTGATGTAAAGGTATGTATATATAGGCGGAACGTGAACTTCCGTTGCCTTAAGGTGGTGAGGTGAGGTGAAATTGGATTCAACGTCGTGCTTGAGAATATTTCGCTCATATGATGACGTGAATGCGTGTGTATGTGTATGTGCGGCTGCTTGTACTAGCCCAGACTTAAGCTGGTTTTATATTGCTAGCCAACTGAGATACCATGCCGCAGTGAAGCATGAATACCCCACACAGACACATTATACTGACTCCGAGCCGACCAGTCCTTGTTGTACCCATTAATGCCGAGCGCCAGGCAGGGACCAACAAGTACCATATCTTAACGTCTTTTGGTATGACGCGGTCGGGGATCGAACCCGCGACCTTCCGCTCTCCGGGCGTACGCTCTAACCACTACACCACGGAGGCGGTCATCGTTGCCTTAAGAGGCTATGCGGTGTGCCTCTGTATACATGTAATGCTTTGAACTGAAAGTTTCTGTGATAGGAGTGATAATATAGTACAAATCTGAATTGCATTCGAACGAGTTAAATCAAATATAGGATGATCTGTAGGATCATTTTCCTAAATCGATACTCATGACCTCAATCACTGGATTGCCTGGCCTGGATGCGATCATTTACAGAGCGTCGCCGTGTATTTAGAATACTGCTGAGTGAGGCGTTAAAGATCAAACAACCGAATTTTAAAATATAGGTCCGACGCCAATATGAACGGCGAGCAGAAGACCTTACGTGAGATATCGTGACATCCCTCGATAAATTCTTCTTGTGACGGATGACTGACCTAGATTTTAATTTTGTTTGTCAAACATTGAAGGCTCCAGTTAGTGACTTGTTACGGTATTTCCGTTTCATTTTCTCATCATCACAATAACAGAGTGCTTATATTATTATCGTGAATATATGAGTAACGGCTATTACTCAATTATCTTTATACATTTTTTTCAAATGTCAAAAGCATAATTTTTAAAGCTATTTTTAGATAAAATAATAAGCCTCTTGAAAGATTGCCAAGTTTGTTTTTCCGATGTGTAACCTGTGAAACGAGGATATTTGTTTCCGAGCATACCATGTAATAATCCCATGGTATGTACTATGATTTCAGCCATCACAGAGCATCAGCAGCAGCCTCATCAGTTTCGGCAGGAGCTATTATCTCAAAAATAGTGGACATCACTTTTTCATCTACGATCTCATCAAAATCGGCGCTCGGTAGTTTCCGGTATTCTTCGATCAGTCTGAAGAGCGTAAGCTCCATGTATGAAGGATAAACAAGGCTGGTCCTGTAACTGAATGTTTTATGGGTGTGTCTGCGTTTAAGCAAACATTGTGATTGTGCCATTGATATATATTATGTGATTTTCGTACCTTACGAATCTATAAATAAATACGGAAGAACAATACATGACACTCTTGTCCTTGTTTTCTGTTATATATTGTGATCGTCATCACACCCCTTTTCCATAGCCTCCAAAGAGACCAATCGACTTGTGATCATGAATCAAATTCGACACTGTTTTGACGCACAATATCATCACGCCTTTTCTGATTACCAGATGTTGTAAGAGATTTGATTCCTGTGATCCATGGGAACTCTATGTGGCTTAATCTAGTTTTATGACTGTCACCTCAGCGTGAGAGGAAAAGCCGGAGTGAGTGAGTTGAGTTTTACGCCGCACTCAGCAATATTCCAGCTATATGGCGGCGGTCTGTAAATAATCGAGTCTGGACCAGACAATCCAGTGATCAACAGCATGAGCATCGATCTGCGCAATTGGGAACCGATGGCATGGGTCAACCAAGTCAGCGAGCCTGACCACCCGATCCCGTTAGTCGCCTCTTACAAGCATAGTCGCCTTTTGTGGCAAGCATGGGTTGCTGAAGACCTATTCTACCCCGGATCTTCACGGGCCTGAGGAAAGCCGGAAGCTCTTCAGATTAGGAACGTTTTAATGACTAGCATGAGTGGTGCGAATTAGGCCAATGTCAACAACGTATTCAGTCAAAAGATAGTACATGAAGAGGCATTAATTTATAAGGGGATATATTTTGTACAAAGTATAAAAAGTCAGTTCTGTTTTCAATGTAAATTTATTTTGAAGGAACATTGTGTTTATGAACATTACTGGGTAGGATGAAGGACGGGAGGTTATCCAAGTAGTCCGGGGATGAAGTCAACAGAATGTGGCATTATTTGTTTGTGTTTGGTTCACCAGATTACTCAGGAATAAAGTTTTATCTAAATTACCAAATTAGCATTAAGCTTTTACAGAATTCGAGTTTGGACAAGACAAACACGTGATTGATATATCGAGCAACGCCCAGCAGAACACCAAACCTGACCACTCGATCAAACAAATGGCATTAACTACAAAAATGACAACCTGGAGGCGAAGGTTTTAATCCTTGTTTCCAGTTCATTTAGGAGGCACAGGAACCTGAAACTCTTATGAAGGTAATGAAAATGTAAGCTAGTTATTCAGGTTCTCAATTTATTAATAATGGGTATACAAGCGTAGAACAAGTGGGTAAAATGCATTGCTGTGTAAAAATATAACGCATCTTAGGTGAGAAGAATGGTGGTAATGTAGATTAACCCGTGTAAAATAGCAATATACCACCACGGTAAAGTAACCATTTTCAAAGTAACCAATTACAGGAGTATTTGTGTTTTAATCTATATTTCCATCTTGAAAAATCCAGCCAAAAACAATATCAGATCTGTTCATGGAGCATCCCATGTCAAAAGGATATTGTTGCATATGACAATATTATTTGGTTAAACTACACTTGAACACCACAGGGGCAAAGGGTTCTGGAAGAATCAACCCAAGCAGGATTTGATGGTGCGCAGAAGCGGGAAACTTTCCCCCGTACAGGTACCCGTGATGTCATCTAGGGTGAGGGACCACACCCCGATCCCACCTAGGTTCGACGACACAGCCCATTACACTGAAACCACAAACGAAGACATAAGGGCGTCAACGCTAACTCAAGCATTCATGCTTTGTACATTATGTCTTTATAACATCAATTGAAGAATGCTTTACATAACCTTGATTTAAGGCGTCAACGCTAGCTCAAGCATTCATGAAGACATTGTACATTATGTCTTTATAACATCAATTGAAGAATGATTTTAATAACCTTGATTTTAATATATTATTAATAACCTTGATTTAAGAATGTTTTCAATATTCCTTATTTAAGAATGGCGTGTGTCATAGGTTGATTTGGTATCGCGCTCAACAATATTTCAACTATATCTCGACGACCTTTAAATAATCGACTTTTGACCAGGAAAACCAATGGATAATAGCATGATAACATTATACGACAGGCTGTCGGGCAGGCCACAAAACACATTATTCCCATTTAATTAAGTGTTTAAACATCCTTGCGGCGGTGGAATCATATTCTGACTCAGAAAATAAGGGCATAATTTTTTATGTGTATCACGGAGCCACCAGATTCTGAACATGGGACGGTCGGTCGGAAAAAACAAACTTAATAAAGACAAAATTATCTGAATAATATTCTTGATTCTCATTTATTGTAATAACTATAACAATTTCTCGCGTTCTTTGGACTTGTGACAGCGACTTCTTAAAAGATAAACATTTTATATGACGAGGCGGTACGTTTGAGGTTCGAGTCGGCAGTGTTGGAATGGAAAAAAAGGTTGGTTTGATTTTTTTTAAATTGTGTGTGTGTGTGTGTGTGTGTGGTGTTGTGTGTGTTTTTAAATTGGTGTGTGTGTGTGGGGGTGGGGTGGGGGTCTTTGTTTATAGGCAATAACGACATGCGTGAGTTTTCGTGGTGCCTTTTAGACAGTTACATTTAACAAGGAGGCCACACCGGCTTACCTTTCCTTTGATGCTCTGCTCATCGTCATACGACACCCATGCCGTGTTGTTGTACAAGTATGGAACACCAGCGGTGGCATCCCATACCCTAGTCGCCCCGGACTTTAGCGCCATGCAAATCTACAAACACAAAAAATGGTCAATCACTTATAATGTGACGGCCACTTTCTCATCAAGGTATTTGTGAAACAGGTCTCGGGTGTTTGTATATATTCTCCAACCCGCCATCAGTCTTCGGACCGTTCATAGTTTATGGCTTGGGGGGAGAAGTATGATGATGATTTAAAGGTGGGTCACCCATTTTGTTCTGGCGAGGTAAGGTACACACCTAGTTGGGGGGCCATCAAATTTGTACATGAAAGTGTGTTTAAAATTATGCTTAGAAATTATGGGTAGGGGGTTCATTGATTTTGTACATGACATGCAGGGGGGGGCACTTATTTTGTACATAAATTTTTTTGGGGGGAGGGGGGTTCCATTCACACTGTGCATGCTTCTCCATAAAAATCATCACCCGCCCTAGCCATAAATTATGAACGGTCCCTAACGAACGTGCACGCGCGCACACACGCACACACACACACACACGTTTGTCTCTGCGTGTGCGTGTATCTATAGTGTACTAAGAAAGCAGATGACACTTGTATATTTAAAACAAATGGCATCGTGTATCCGTAATAATATAGTTGCAATTGTCTTTGTCTGGATAGTCATGACGCTAGCGTTCGAGTCGCAGCACAGAGTAACCTCCCTTGATTTTCCCCGCTCTCAATTTACACTTAACTGTGTTCCCTTACCCTTCGATAGTTACCGTAATCATTTCTGTATTTAAATTCGTTCTGCTGATAAATTACATGTATGTACATGTGTTCATTGCCTTGAGATATTACAGCTACCAAATATAATATGGCCACCTTGATTTCCAAGTAATGGTTTCTTAACTCCACAGTTCTGTACCCGTGAAGATCCGGGGTAGAATAGGTCTTCAGCAACCCCTGTGCTTGCCATAAAAGGCGACTATGCTTGTCGTAAGAGGCGACTAACGGGTCGGGTGGTCAGGTTCGCTGACTTGGTTGACACATTTCATCGGTTCCCAATTGCGCAGATCGATGCTCACGCTGTTGATCACTGGATTGTCTGGTCCAGACTCGATTATTTACAGACCGCAGCCATATAGCTGGGATATTGCTGAGTGCGGCGTAAAACTAAACTCACTCACTCACTCACTCCACAGTTCTGTTGAAATTATCAACGGATTGCTTAGTGAGTACAGTATATTTTCACTTTGATCAACATTCCCACCATACCATAGCAGGGGACACCAGTAATGGGCTACACCATATACAACACACGTGAGCGCTCGAACCCAGACCTTCGGTGACCGGGAAAGCTTTAACACCACCGCGATCATTGACGCTGCAAAAAGATGCAGGGCTAGATATTTAAAAGCAAAATCAAGTTTATTTATTGGATGGATGTAGTTTTATTAATCTCTCAAAATTTAATCTCTCATGACGTCAACCAACCATAGCGGCTAGCACTCAGCGTTCAAAATTAACGTCGGTCCTTTGGCCCGAAGCCAACTGAAAGCCACTCGGACCCCCAGCTTTTGTTTTCTGTAGGTCCTTATGGTCGACAGCTTTTTCATCCCCAATAACTAAGATTATTATATTTCAGAAAATAACATTCAGTAATTTCTAGCTTTTATCTCGATCAGCAGCTGTTGTCTGTAAGTGAAACGACTATCAGTTTCGAATAAACAATTTAGATTTATTCATCTTTTAACCTCGAACAAGTTGTCTGAATGTATTGCAAAGACTAGTCAGTCACTAGAGTTAAATTAAACTCTTTAACTCAACTTTGTTAGCCGTCACATTTTTGTTTGCTGGGAATTACTTATATTGTAGCTAAAATATAGGGCCTACACATTCTGATCAGGACCCACAACTTTTTATGATTCTGGGTCCTTTGGGCCTGCAACATTTCAGGTTTAAGGGCAAACACAGCCTAGCACTCTCACAGCGCGTCTAACCATTCCATATTTCCCATGGTGTAGGCAGAATAGACCTGTCCAGTTGATCATCCGGTTGGTGTGGCTTTCTAAGAGGTCAGTGGGCGGTGAGGTAGCTTTGTGGTTAGAGTGTTCGCTAGTCACACCGAAGACTCGGGTTCATTTCTCCACTAGGGGTACAATGTGCGGTCTGTATTTCTGGAGTTGAATATTGCTAAAGCGGCATAAAACCGTACTCACTCCCCATTCCACCACGGGAACGTAAGGGAAACCCTCTCGACCAAACGTCTGCTAAATGCGTTTAATCTGATAATCCCATAATAACTGACACTTGTCGGTCAAATATTATTCATGAAGGCCTTGGAAACAGTTCAATTTCACCTTCGCTTCTTTATTCATGCTTTGACGGGACAGAGAGATTGTATGACGCTTCCTTCGTTTAGTCAAGTGGGGTTGGTTCTGGTAAGTCTGACTGTAATATACTTACGCCCTGGTATATGTAGACACCATGCACGTGGATTGCTGGTCCAGGTGCTCCACGTGCAACAGCAGGTGCGTGAAGTCCGTGCTTGGAACTGTCAGCCAGTGTGTAGGATCTTCCATATGCCGGCACCCCCATCAAGATCTTGGACCGTTCTAGACCTGCTTTCATGTAGAAGTTCAACATGCCTTCCTGAAACCCACAATGACGTCACGATGACAATCTGTTTTACATTTGTGCAAGAAAATGCAAGAAGAAAAGGACGCACATTCACCAAATACCATGTTTTTCAACAATAAGGCTTTCCCGCCATTTACTTTCCTACAGAACGTTTCCTGTCTTATCCGAGGTTTAACTTCTTATCAATTACCTGTTAGGAACTGTTCTGTTCAAGTTCGGAAATAAAAGTAACTTAAAGCGACAAAATCATTGTGTTCTATGGTTTTTTTCAGGAAGGCACAATTATGTGATTTTATTGTAAACAATTTGCATATGTAGTGTGCATACTTTTCGGCCAGTAACGTTCGGACAAAACACATTACAAAATATTGAAATCCACAATGTATTCAAGAACACTTTCCAGTTTTTAGGAACCTCAAGTCTGAGAATGGTATGAATGTATTCTGGTAGAGCTGGGTACGGATAAGGGTGGGGAGATGGTGGTTGCTATGACATCACAAATCTCTCTGACAGCTGAAAATTGTTTACTAAAGCCTGGATATGTGTGTTTACAAACTGAAAGAGTTTAAAGAATAATTGTGGATGATAAACATAAATTCGTTCGGAGTTTTTGAACATTTGTATTCGAGTTTGTTAATTTGATATGAAAGACACTCGGGAGTGATTCTATATTCCCACTGGGTTATTGTCCCTTAAAACACGTACATGGTCTGGTTTGGTTAAGGGGCTCTTTAACCTTAACGGGTGGTTGGGTAGCCTTGCGGTTAAAGCGTTCACTCGTAACGCCGACAACCCGGGTTCGATTCCCAACATTGCCCATTTTCTGGTGCCGCCCTCCTTGACACTGCTGGAATATTGCTATAAGTGGCGTGAAAACATACTCATTCACTCACTTAAACCTTGTGTTTGTATTTTTTAATGGACATCAGGACAAACAGTTGTTTTAAGCCGCTTAACTTGAAGTCGGCAGACCCTCATTTAACAAATCTGCAGCTCTCTCTGACAAATAAATCGACACATATATCCACTGAAGGACATACGGACCCACACAATTCATAAACTCCGGGCCCGCCACGATACCTACGTGCCACGGGCCTTCGGGCAGGCATCTATTTGGAACGCTACTGTATAACATTTATAATACTTTACGTGACTATGTCATCAAACGCTTACAGTCGACAGGTACGGGATCTCGCCCTTGGGGGCCACAAGCGGGCTGTTGTAACCGGTGACATTGTCGTGCTTGGCATTGAAGACGTGGAAATCATACGTCATCACTGTGGCGAAGTCGATATTTCTGTAAAAATGTAGAGGTGAGGTTAGGTGAGGTGAAATTGGGTTTAACGTCGTGCTTCAGAATATTTCGCTCATATGACGAAGTGCATGCGTGTGTATGTGTATGTGCGGCTGCTTGTACTAGCCCAGACTGAAGCTGGTTTCATAGTGCCAGCCCCCTGAGATACCATGCCGCAGTGAAGCATGAATACCCCACTCAGACACATTATACTGACTCCGAGCCGACCAACCCTTGATGTACCCGATTAATGCCGAGCGCCAGGCAGGGACCAACAAGTACCATATTTTAACGTCTTTTGGTATGACGCGGTCGGGGATCGAACCCGCGACCTTCCGCTCTCCGGGCGGACGTTCTAACCACTACACCACGGAGGCGGTCGTAAAAAGGTAGAAAGCTCGCCCGTAGAAGTACATTGTATTAATTGTAAAAATGTAGAATTCTTGCCTGTAGAAGTACATTGTATTAATTGTACTTTAATATCAACTCTTGTGAATACGCACGTCAGGCTATCCAGCTTAACACTGCACTTTTCAGATCCAATACATGACTATAAGTGAGTGAGTATGGTTTTGCTCCGCTTTTTATTCCAGCAATATCAATGCGGGGAACGCCAGAAATTGACGTCACACATTGCACCCATGTGGGGAATGGAACCCGGTCTTCGGTGTGGAGAGAGAACGTTATAACCACAAGGCTATATCTATTTAACTATGATACCCGTGTTAAATGCATCACCGTCTAATAATTTTAATTTTAATAAATTAATTTTTTTTTATTCCATGGCGCACTTTCTCCACTGCCTTGACCACAAGCAGCCGTGGACGAAGACACTAACATGGTATGTCTCACAGTCCCTGTACGGCATTGTGTTCACTTTCTGCAATGCTAAAGCCCTAAATGAAACATCTACATATTTTTATGTTAACGTTCTGATCCTCCCATCTCACTGGGGCTTCTTTTTCCATTTAAAAACGTATTATTTGTTTCCATGAATATATATGCATAGACTCGGCATTGGTCTAACACTAACTTGGTGGAAACACTTACTGAGTGAGGACAGACATATCGTAAGCCCAACCCGCTATATATCTGTTGTTGGACAGAGCCATGGTGAGCAGCAAAGGGGCTGTCCCGTTCAGTTTCGCCTCGTCATTGATGGTCTTTCTGAAAATCTGAAAAGTAGCAATGAAATTCCACGCGAATTCATAGCTGTCGAGTTCCCACTGGATTATTTGTTTCACTAAAACTCTGCCGTTTTTTCCATAAATCTGTGCATGCTAAATTCGATTCCGAGTCCGCATGTTTAGAGATTTTGTCTATTAGGAAGTTGCACTTTTGGTATATACCATCATGGCGACCCACAGGGAACTTCAGGATATTTTCAAGTCAAGAAACATTATGAGATGTCTACACAATTAAGGTTTCATTTTGACTGATTGAGAAAACGGTCAAAATTTGTGCCCAATATGCAACTTCAAAATAGTCATAATATTAAAGCGTAAAACAAGATTTGTGTATGAGGACTTACTGATATCAGTTTCATGTAACCGTCTTTCTGTGTTCTGCTTGGAAATTCCCAGTCAAAGTCAACACCGTCAAGTTTCAGTTTCCGTAGAAATGAGCCGGCACCTTTTGCAAATCTGAATAGAAAATATGGTAATTACATCATTTATGTCAGAATAATTTTCATGCATGGTTTTACGCCGCTTTCAGTAATATTCAAGCACAGGCAAACTGTAGCGCAAATAGGGTTGGGCAACGGAGACAAAATGACCAGTCTTCCTATAATGCGAGCAATATATTCAAGCAATACCAGGGCGGGGGACACCATAAATTAGCCTTACATATTGTACCCATCGAACCCAGGCTTTCGGTGTGAAAGGCAAATGCTTTAACAATAGGGCTACCCAACCGCTCCTTATTTGAGTAGCAAAATAGATGTGAACATAACAGTGAAAGAATAATTAGATTCTCTTCTCGTAACTATCCCACCCTCGATTATTCAGTGAATTATGTGTCTATACTGTAATGAGAAAAACGCTGGACCAGTTCGCTAAAATTGCTTCGTATAATTCCACAGGTCGTGAAGGAACGTTGTATGTACAAACTCTTAACGCACTGACAATGCTTGCACTATACAGATTATCGGAGATTCGTATAATTTGACTGGACGGCTATTTTGAGTTGTTACTGTCATGTCTTTCAGATCGGACTCGAAGAGCATGGCCACTGGGCACAAGCCTATCTTAGCGCTCAGGTGATCGTAACTTCCATACTCCTTCTGACCGCCTCCGTGGTGTAGTGGTTAGAGCGTCCGCCCGGAGAGCGGAAGGTCGCGGGTTCGATCCCCGACCGCGTCATACCAAAAGACGTTAAAATATGGTACTTGTTGGTCCCTGCCTGGCGCTCGGCATTAATGGGTACAACAAGGACTGGTCGGCTCGGAGTCAGTATAATGTGTCTGAGTGGGGTATTCATGCTTCACTGCGGCATAGTATCTCAGGGGGCTAGCACTATAAAACCAGCTTAAGTCTGGGCTAGTACAAGCAGCCGCACATACACATACACACGCATGCACGTCGTCATATGAGCGAAATATTCTCAAGCACGACGTTAAACCCAATTTCACCTCACCTCACCTCCATACTCCTTCACACTCTGGTGATAGTTGTAGCCCTGAGCTCGTGCAACGGTACACGTGGTATTTAGAATGGTTGTTTGTTTGTTGTTTAGCGGCGCAGTCTGTAAACATTCGAGGGGCGGTGGGGTAGTCTAGTGGTTAAAGCGTTGGCTCGTCACGCCGAAGACCCGAGTTCGAATCCCCACATGGGTACAATGAGTGAAGCCCATTTCTGGTGTCCACCGCCGTGATATTGCTGGAATATTGCTAAAAGCTGCGTAAAACCAAACTCAGTCAGTCAGTCAGTAAACATTCGAGTCAGGACCAGACAATCCATTAATCAACAGCATGAGCATCGATCTATCTATTGGCTTATGAGGATACGTGTTAACTAAGTCAGCGAGCCTGACTACCCGATCCCGTTAGTCGCCTCTTACGACATGCATGGTTACTGAAGAGCAATTCTAATCCGGATCTTCATGGGTCGTATATATAATGAGAGAATTTACATGCATACCAAAAATCGAGGATGTAAAATTATGTGTGGCAATTTTAACATGTAAGTAAGTGAGTATCGTTTTACACCGGGTTCAGCATTATCAGGGAGGGGGACACCAGAGATGGAATTCAAACATGATACCAGTGTCGGGAATCGAACCCAGATCTTCGGCGTGACGAACGATGGAGCGTAACGCTACTTATGTTAATGGGAAATACTGAGAGATGCATGTATCTGAAGATACAAAAATACCTGACTTGTGATTAAATGAAAAACAAATGACCTTTTCAGCCAAAACGGAACTTGTCATTGAAGATCAGGTATAATTCTTGGGGGAAAAAGTAATTACCTTTCAACAAAGGAGTAATGAAAAATATTTTATCATTGTCAGCCTTATTTTCTTCAAACAAGTGAAAATATGTGTGTGTTAATAGTTGGTTTAAATTGAATGTCGTCTTGTGCCCTTGAAGTCAGTCGGTGATAGCAGTATGCTTACACTATCAACCCCTGGTTTGCTTTACAAGATTCGACCAAACAGTAGACCATGACGCATCAATATGCCTTCGAAAAACATAATCGATTCGACTCACGTTTCCATGGCAGCGACCCCTCCATCCACTACCGCTGGGAACCCATTTTGAAGAGATACCAGCACCTTCAGGTTGGGATTGACCTTCTTCAGCGCAACCATCTCTGAGAACTTTGCGAGGTCGGCAGTGTGCGCTGGAATAATGCCGTTCTTGGAGGCTTCAGCGAAGGCATATACGACATGCGTGCAGAGGTCTGCTGGAATCCTGGCGATTGGTACACGTGCACTCGGCTGGTAGTAGCAAACAAACGTCTTGCCGCCTGCAGCTGCAGATAGATCATCATTATATCAACCACACGTTAATGGTTGTATCAACCACACAGTCATGAGTATATCAACCACACGTTAATGGTTGTATCAACCACTCAGTCATGATTATATCAACCACACGTTAATGGTTGTATCAACCACACGTTAATGGTTGTATCAATCACACAGTCATGAGTATATCAACCACACGTTAATGGTTGTATCAACCACACAATCATGATTATATCAACCACACGTTAATGGTTGTATCAACCACACAGTCATGATTATATCAACCACACGTTAATGGTTGTATCAACCACACAGTCATGATTATATCAACCACACGTTAATGGTTGTATCAACCACACAGTCATGATATATATCAACCACACGTTAACGGTTGTATCAACCACACAGTCATGATTATAGCAACCACATGATTATATCAACCACACGTTAATGGTTGTATCAACCACACAGTCATGAGTATATCAACCACACGTTAATGGTTGTATCAACCACACATTCACGCTTGTATCAACCACATCACGCTTGTATCAAACAAATGATTATATTTACTACTTAAGGATTATATCAACCAAACGTTAAGGATTATATCAACCGCACTTTAAGGATTATATATATTTACCATGCGTTAAGGATTATATTTATATCACGTTGAGCAAACATTTCGAAAAATCTGTTGGACATGCCATTGGTAAATCTACAATTAGGGACATTTTGATATCTAAAGATAAATGGTTAGGACTTTCAGAAGATTCGGCCTCTATTTCTCGTGCCAGAAATGCAAAACACCAAAATTTGGAAGAAGCCCTAATTCTTTGGATTAATGACTTGAATAGCAAAAATGCTGCAGTAAATGATGCAATGATTGTTCAGAAAGCGGATTTGTTTGGCACACAACTTGGCATTTCGGATTTTTCCTATTCACGTGGTTGGCTGTCACGTTTCAAATCTCGTTTCTCTCTCTCCCAAAAAAACTATCAGGGCGAAGCAGCTAGTTCCGATAAAACGGCAATTTCAAAAGGGAGAGAAGAGTTGAAATCAGTGCTCAAGAATTACGAGCCTGGTGATATTTTCAATTTGGATGAGACAGGTTTATTTTATAAATTAGACCCACATTACACTCTAGCTTCAAAGGCTTGCGCAGGCGTCAAAAGATCTAAAGAGCGCATCACAGTAGCACTCTGCTCCAATGCCAGTGGGACAATGAAAATGACACCATTCGTCATCGGCAAGGCAAGACGACCAAGGTGCTTCGGCCGAGATTTCAACCCGGAAGTGTATGTCCGTTATCGCCATAACACCAGAGCATGGATGACCAGTGAATTATTCAGTGACTGGTTGCGACACTTTGACAGATCCATGCGTCTGAAAGGTCGTACAGTCATCCTTCTATTAGATAATGCTGCCAGCCATAAGCACAAGGACTTTCGACTGACCAACGTCACCGTGCACTTCCTTCCTCCCAACACCACTGCTCATATTCAACCAATGGACGCTGGTATCATCCGGAACTTTAAAGCCCTTTACAGGAAGTCGCTAGTGAAACACTACATCACATGTGCTGAGAATGGCCAACCCCAGACGCTAACAGTAAGGTTAGCAATCAGGTTCGTCAAGTCTGCCTGGGATGGAGTGAGTGCGAAGTGTATCAACAACTGCTTCAAACACGTCGACATAATTCCCACGACAGCTGAGATTGAGGATGAAAACGATGATGACATCACCCTTGCTGAGCTGCGAAATTTAATGCAGCAATTACCAAGAAGTGATGGGGACGAGGTCCCAACTGCTGAACAGTACGTGAACGAAGACACTATCGTAGACACCGGCCACGAGCTTACTGATGAGGAAATCCTCAACAGAGTACAACCACCGACAGACGACCAGTCAGACGACGAGGACCAACCAGCAGTTGTCCCGCCAACAGTATCGGAAGCTCTTCAAAACGCCAACAGGTTGTTACAATTCTACGAATGTAATGGCGACGAATCTTGTGATGGACTTGGTTAAAAAACTGGATGAAATCAAACCGACGAAACAAACATCAATGACAGACTTTTTAAAGAAATAAATGTGCTTCATGGGAAATGTCAAGATACTGAGTGAAGTGAAGTAAGATGTAATGTGAGTCAATGTGATGAAAGACTGTTTATTGGTACATTTACGATCACTTATGTATAGTATGATCAATTGTTTTTGCTTATTTTGACTATTGATTTTTTGATATATATATATATACATGTACATGAATAAATTTTCAATATACATCGGCAATACGTTTTGCTTGTTTGATCCAGTTAACCGGACGCCTCGCTATCCGGACGATTTCTGAGTGTAACCAGAATGTCCGGATAAACGGGGTTCGACTGTATATCAACCACGCATCCATCACAACACACTACACTACAGACACACTGTTGTACACAGACACAGCACAGACACTAATAACAAACTACAAACACACTTGGCTGAGGATACTACAAATGCTAAAACAGATACACATAGATAAACCTCAGACACACTGGATATTTACTGCACCTACACGTGATCAGCTCACTCCCGACCATAGGGGAACACCGTGTAAATTTACACATATCAACATGCCACACTTATGTGGCTCCTAAACGTCTGGTACTTATACTTCCCTGTTTGTCAGACTTGTATTTGTTCAGGTGGTTTACGAAATGACAATGCGACAGTGTTCGCTATACGCTTTGGATGGCTTTAATTAACGTAAGGCTTGTACTTGTCTTTGTTTAGATATTTAGACAGTTATTGATATTTCTGTATTGTAATCCTACCTGTAGCTACGCAGCATGCTGCAATAAAGGTACACAGCCATACACCGGTCCAGATCCGCTCACCACAGTCACTGTAAACAAAATTACTCATCTTAAGAGATTGGTCATTGGGGATCAGGCGGGCGATTTTAGAGCTATTGTGTTTTGCTGACAACCCAAGATGCAAGATCATCTTCTTCCAAATACATGTAACCTGTTTTCAAGGACACCCTACTCTCATCCTTCTATAGTACCGGTACATAAGGGCGATGGGACAGCCTTGTGATCACACCGAAGACACGGGTTCGATTCCCCACATGGGTACAATGTGTGAAGCCTATTTCTAGATGTCCCACGACGCGATATTGCTGAAATATTGCTGAATGCGGTTTAGAACCATACTCACTCTTTAATACATGACGCGTCTCAAAATTCAAGACAGCCATTGTCATTCATTTACACATGACTTGAGCAACATAAATTATCGTCAGTTGCAAACACCCGGTGCAGACAGAATAATCGTACGCGCTTGTAAATGGATGTCAAGATCAGTGGTATCGGGTTTTATCAGACATGGCTAGTGATGATTAACGACATTTTACAACACCGAGTAACATGTGCAACGTCAAGCATGTTACGTACACGGTATCACTTACCGAATCATTATTTAAAATCAGCCGTCCTAAGTAAGTCACGACTATGGCTTACAGAGCGACATGTTTCATTCGAGGTTATAACACGCGTTCGCTACATGTTTGCGAAACCTTAACCTCAATCTCTACATGTTTACGAAACTTCAACCTCACTTTCTATCACGATCAGAGGTCGATTCGGAGCCTCCATGCATAGCTATATTGTTGTTTGTTTGTTGTTTGTATAGCGCCGCACTCATCAATATTCCAGCTATACAAATTCGAACCTGGCCCATATAACTAACCGACTGGCAATATGAGCATCGATCTATGCAGTTTGAACACGACGACAAGCTCCAACCAAGTGAAAGAGCCTGTCCACGCGATCCCGTTAGCCTCCTCTTACAACATCATAGGGACGGTGGGGTAGCCTAGTGGTTAAAGCGTTGGCTCGTCACGCCGAAGACCCGGGTTCGAATCCCCACATGGGCACAATGTGTGAAGCCCATTTCTGGTGTCCCTCGCCGTGGTGTTGCTGGGATATTGCTAAAAGCGGCGTAAAACCAAACTCAGTCAGTTACAACATCATGAAAAGCCAAAAGACTATAAGGGACCGTAGGGGTAGGGGGAGGTCGGGGATGGGGAAATGATTATTTTATGGAGAAGCATGTACAATGTGAGTGACCACCCTAAACTGTCTGTACAAAGTAAGTAAGTTTCAGCTCTGCCCCCATTGCATGTCATGTACAAACTCAATGATCCCCTCCCATAATTTTTAAGCGTAAGTTTGTAAAGTAATATGTACAATATTGCTGACCCCCCTCCCCAGAACAAAATGGGTGACCCACACACACTCACACACACCTTAAAGTCATCATCACGCGCACACACATAAATTATGAACGGTCGCTAACAGAGGAGGGAATATCCCATGAGGACGGTTTGCGTCATAATCCCTGTCAGCATGCTTTATGAAAGAGGTATTGTAAGGTGGCACTTCTATATAAATACCTATTGGATCTTACCGTATTTTCATCATGTCGGCTCCATGAGTCGCACTATATGTGTAATTCCCAATGAGATTTGCCCAAATGATTTCAGAACTAGAGAGAAACACTTCCGCGTTAGACGGGGAATTCACTGTCGCGTTATTTGTGCTATTAATAGCTACTTCCGTCAAACGCGGAGCACAGTGAAAGAGATCTTCCTTGTCTCGTCTTACCACAGTATTTGAGCACAGATTGACAGTATACTGAAATGATAAATCATCCGGTCATTATTTTCCTTTTTCCTCAGTCCTCAAAAGAACTGATCTGACAAAATTATATTAATATTTTGTTAATAATGTTAAACTTATAGATGAGTAATACGGATATTAAGTCATGTTACTGGATTGTTGGCTTATCACAGCAAAATTATGTATTAATATTTTGTTATGTATAATGTTAAACTCATAGTACCCTCTGTGTGACTAGTAGTATACGTTTGATATTAAGTCATGTATAGTTTGATGTATCTGTGTGGCTTATCACCCCTAGTATACGGTTTGATGTACCCTCTGTGTGACTATGTACCCTAGTATAGTTTATGTACCCTCTGTGTGACTATGTACCCCTAGTATCCAGTTTGATGTACCCTCTGTGTGACTATGTACCCCTAGTATACGGTTTGATGTACCCTCTGTGTGACTATGTACCCCTAGTATCCGGTTTGATGTACCCTCTGTGTGACTATGTACCCTAGTATACGGTTTGATGTACCCTCTGTGTGACTATGTACGGTTTGATGTACCCTCTGTGTTACTATGTACCCTAGTATACGGTTTGATGTACCCTCTGTGTGACTATGTACCCTAGTATACGGTTTGATGTACCCTCTGTGTGACTATGTACCCTAGTATACGGTTTGATGTACCCTCTGTGTGACTATGTACCCCTAGTATACGGTTTGATGTACCCTCTGTGTGACTATGTACCCCTAGTATACGGTTTGATGTACCCTCTGTGTGACTATGTACCCTAGTATACAGTTTGATGTACCCTCTGTGTGACTATGTACCCCTAGTATACGGTTTGATGTACCCTCTGTGTGACTATGTACCCTAGTATACAGTTTGATGTACCCTCTGTGTGACTATGTACCCCTAGTATACAGTTTGATGTACCCTCTGTGTGACTATGTACCCCTAGTATACGGTTTGATGTACCCTCTGTGTGACTATGTACCCTAGTTTGTTTGATGTACCCTCTGTGTGACTATGTACCCCTAGTATACGGTTTGATGTGTACCCTCTGTGTGACTATGTACCCTAGTATACGGTTTGATGTACCCTCTGTTACTATGTGACTAGTATGTTTGATGTACCCCTGTAGACTATGTACCCCTAGTATACGGTTTGATGTACCCTCTGTGTGACTATGTACCCCTAGTATCCAGTTTGATGTACCCTCTGTGTGACTATGTACCCCTAGTATACGGTTTGATGTACCCTCTGTGTGACTATGTACCCTAGTATACAGTTTGATGTACCCTCTGTGTGACTATGTACCCCTAGTATACGGTTTGATGTACCCTCTGTGTGTACCCTAGTATACTTTATCCAGTTTGATGTACCCTCTGTGATGACTATGTACCCTAGTATACGGTTTGATGTACCCTCCCTCTGTATCCAGTGATACTATGTACCCTAGTATACGGTTTGATGTACCCTCTACTATGTAGACTGATGTACCCCCCTGTGACTAGTATACGGTTTGATGTACCCTCTCTGTGACTATGTAACCCTAGTATACGGTTTGATTTACCCTCTGTGTGACTATGTACCCTAGTATACGGTTTGATGTACCCTATGTGTGACTATGTACCCCTAGTATACGGTTTGATATACACCTACCCTTTGTTTGACTATGTACCCCTAGTATACAGTTTGATATTCCATCTGTTTGACTATGTCCCCCTAGTGTACGGTTAGATATACCCTTTATTTGACTATGTCCCCTAGTATACGGTTTGATATGCATCTACCCTATGTTTGACTGTGCGGCCCTGGTATACGGTTTGATATACCCTTTATTTGACTATGTCCCCTAGTATACGGTTTGATATACACCTACCCTATGTTTGACTGTGCGCCCCTAGTATACGGTTTGATATACCCTTTATTTGACTATGTCCCCTAGTATACGGTTTGATATAGACCTATCCTATGTTTGACTGTGCGCCCCTAGTATACGGTTTGATATACCCTTTTTTTGACTATGTCCCCTAGTATACGGTTTGATATACACCTACCCTATGTTTGACTGTGCGCCCCTAGTATACGGTTTGATATACCCTTTATTTGACTATGTCCCCTAGTATACGGTTTGATATACACCTACCCTATGTTTGACTGTGCGCCCCTAGTATACGGTTTAATATACCCTTTATTTGACTATGTCCCGTAGTATACGGTTTGATATACACCTACCCTATGTTTGACTGTGCGCCCCTAGTATACGGTTTGATATTCCATGATAGACAGATAGATAATCTTTATTTCCTTCAACTGAATGAAGATTACAATGTGTGGTAATAATATATTTTACGTGAAATGATTAAGATAGATTATTGATAGAGTCACAAATGTTCATATACATACAAGTGTTTTAGCAAGTATCGCCATTTCCTTATAAAATGGCTTACATTAGTTATTACTTTTGCCCATACATCTCTTTCTAGTTCCATGATACACGCTGTTGGACATCCACCAAGTACAAATGCAAGAATAACATCATAATCTTGATCCCAGATCTTAACAAAAGTTTCTACATCCAGAATTTCACATATGGAGTTAAAAAGTTCAATTCTGTCATTCATATTTATCGTACATGACATAAACACGTGCTTTACAATATCATTGGCGACAGTTTTACATAAACATTCTCTTGAAACAATTTCAGCTGATCCATAGAATACAAGTCTTGCAATATCAGTTAACTGGTCGTTCTTCTCTGCAGCTAGCATCCAGAGATAGTGTTCATTACTGGATCTTATATTGATATATCTTGACAGACTAAGTCTTGAATTAAGATGAACATAAAATAGATTTTCTCGATAAGATTTAGTAGCATCATTTACGGCATTGGACCAACATTTCTTACTGATAAATTGACCATTATTGACATAGTTAGCTAGTATATCGTTTAGGTTATACTAATGTACAAGTTGCAGCATATTGTATATACCCTTTATTTGACTATGTCCCCTAGTATATAGTTTGATATACACCTACACTCTGTTTGACTGTGTACCCCCTGTGGTTGGAGTAATTCCGCTTTGCAATGCATCATGGATCGACTATGTACGTAACGCGGCAATTGTCGTTGCTAAGCTATTTAGAATCATCACATAATGGATTAATTCCAATTTGATTGGCTAAAAATAATAATTCAGTATCTTATTGTCACATACTGACAAATCATTCTGTAGTATAGTGATTGTACTTTGGTAAAACAGTCAAAGTTATTAATACCTATGTTTGTGCTGGCAGACCAAGGATAATACAATTATTTTTGAGACATAGCGATGCTTACAACAAAGACAGAATTCGGACCCTGTACTCGTCTTCAGCATCTGGAGCACTGTATCGCTGATATATCTAATAGTTCCCTGGTGACATGTGGTATTTGTAGATTTATAAGTCAATGTTTTCAAAATAAAACTTCGACACACATTCGCTCATCGCTCGACAGTCGAATACGCGACTGTGTCGGCGAAGCACCTGTAAAATATTTCAGATACGCATATATTAAAGAACTTCAGCTGTGATGATTGCTCGAAGTACTCGATGGCGAACACAGAGATGACCAGGGTTGGGTTGGAACCCTTAGAGATTTGCATTTACCCAATTACCGGAACAACTCTTCTCTCTCTCTGTCTGTCTCTCTCTGTCTGTCTCTCTCTGTCTGTCTCTCTCTGTCCCTCTGTCTGTCTGTCTGTCTGTCTGTGTCTGTCTGTCTGTCTGTGTCTGTCTCTGAAGTCTTTCTCTCTCTCTCTCTCTCTCTCTCTGTCTGTGTGATCTGTCAATATTGATGGTGTCTGTGTCCCAATTACCGGAACAACTCTTCTCTCTCTCTCTCTCTCTCTCCGTCTCTCTCTGTCCCTCTCTGTCTCTCTCTCTGTCTCTCTCTCTCTCTCTCTCTCTCTCTCTCTCTCTCTCTCTCTCTCTCTCTCTCTCTCTCTCTCAAACAAACAAACAAACACTAACAAGTGTGTGATGCAAAATAATTGTCAAAATTGATGGTCTAAAATGATTTGCCGGTCTCTCTCTCACTCTCTCCCTCTCTCTCTCCCTCTCTCTCTCTCTCTCTCTCTCTCTCTCTCTCTCTCCCTCTCCTCTCCCTCCCTCTCTCTCCCTCCCTCTCCTTCTTGAAAACCGTCAAAATCAAGAATTACACCCGATGCACGTGTATGGGGCTATTGCGTTGTGCACGTGCATACGTGCATATTATTCGTTGCGTTTAGAGGTGGTGATCAGGCGCGTAGCAATTGTTTTCGTGTAAGCCCAGCAGGTTACAAGCCCGGGCTTAATTAGATATATTGGGGGCTGCAACCCTTTTGCAACAATCATGTATAAGCCCGGCCTTTTTTATAATGGAAGCTGCACCCCTGGTGATATACTCCCTACTATTTTTTAAGAGTATATATTCCGTTCCATTCTCACTCCCATCGCAGCTGCAGCAACCACAACCCACCCCCTTTCTTCAAACTTACACCGTGGATTCCTTTGACTGACATTTAATCCCAGAAACAACGATCTCTTAAATATATATGCAGTTACATTTAAAAATATAAAATACACAACAAATAGCGCCCAGAACAATCCTCAAGATCCTGGAGGACAACCTAAACTTGCAAAATCATTCTAGACTTGAGTCGGACTCCTAATTAATATATTCTGTCTGGCCTGGGAGCCAGGGTTATGGGCTCCTTATGGGTTCATTTGTAGAACAAGGTATGTAGAACGTTCACATGTCATTACTCCGGGGACCCGTGTTAGCCGAGTTTCTGAACTGGGGATTTTCTGCAACACTGCTTTAACAGACATTATTTCAGTAACAACATGGCCTGTCAAGTTGATATAGGGGAGATCCCAATATCGTGAAGGTGTTTACCTTTTAAGAGATTTAC